TTCTATTTTCTATTCTATTCCTATTCTATTGTATTCTATTTTCTATTCTATTCTATTCTATTTTCTATTCTATTCCTATTCTATTGTATTCTATTTTCTATTCTATATTCTATTCTATTTCTATTCTATTCTATATTCTGTTCTATTGTATTCTATTTTCTATTCTATTGTATTCTATTTTCTATTCTATTCTATTCTATTTTCTATTCTATTTTCTATTCTATATTCCATTCTATTATATTCTATTCTATTCCTATTCTATTCTATACTCTGTTATATTCTATTCTATTTTCTATTCTATTCCTATTCTATTCCTATTCCTATTCTATTCTATTTTCTATTCTATTCTATTCCATTCCATTTTATTCTTATTTTGCATTCTATTCTATTCATTCTGAATTCCATTCTATATTTACTCTGTCTACTCTACTCTACTCTACTTGGACCTATTCCTATTCAGTTTTCCAAATAGCAATGCAGCAACTTCATAAATACGACGTACTTTTCTGTTTACCGACGGTTGTAAAGACCCACAAAAGTTGCGACTGCTTTCCCATGGCTGCCTTTTCTCTCCCTCTTTTCTAGCACCAGTTCCTGAAAATTGCCAAGCCCCTCTCCAGCCTCACCCCTCTGATCGTTGCAGCGAAAGAGGCCACAAAGAACAACCACTGAGAGGGAGAGAGAGAAAAAAAGACTACACCAGCTGTTTCCGAAATCTTTCTGCAAACAGTTTCGGTTTTATCCTTTTGGGTTTATTTTTTTCTTCCATTTTTTTAAGAGACTAATTTTTTTAAAAAGTTCCTCTTTCGGGATGTCTGCTTTGTGCAGAAAAGCCTTTTAATCATTTTAATTTTTTTCTGTCCTGGTGGCTGGAATCATGAAATTCAGATGGAGGATCCAGAAACGGATTTACGGCGATGGAGTAACTCCGGAGTAACTCTTGAGTTTAGGAGCGCTGCCTTTCTCGCAAGACCCGTGAAAAGGCTGGCTGATCACAACCGTTGTGTTGTTGCCAAGCAAACATTGTAGGCAACTTGGATCTTTTAATGTACGGATTTAATATACGGATTTTTTAGAATGAGAGAGAAGAATTTCTCGCGGAAACTTTTTAGAAGACATTTTCCCTAAGCGAGTTAACAGGTTTTTTTTAGGCATCCTCGATACCTTTCGGGGAGCCTAATTCTTAAAACTACTGAAAATTTGTTTGGATTACTTGAAAACTAAGGCAGGCTTAGAGAAACGTGGACTGATTTTTATAATTGCAGGGGAAAGCAATTAATGTTTTTTCCCTGTGAACCACTTGATGTTCAGAGAAAGTTTGCATGCGTCAAAAGAAGATTGAAGTAGTTAGGATGAATACCACCATCGGCCGCCCCCCCCCCCCGTCCCTTTTTGGAAGGTTAATTAATCGGTGATGGATCATGCAATGTGTTTGAGGTTTTGTGCGAGTGTATGTGCGTATGAGAAACAAATTGCCTTCTGATTAAATCCCTACGGCTCTTTCCCATCTTAAACTGCAGTTTAGGACAGCCTAATTGGACTCTTTTGGTTAATACCCCGTTTTCCCAAAAATAAGACCTCCCCGGATAATAAGCCCAATCGGGCTGTTGAGTGCATGCACTAAAATAAGGCCTCCCAAAAAAATAAGCCCTCCCCGAAAATATTGCAATACCGCAGCAGCCATGAGGTGGCCCCGCTCTCTGCCTCCTGCACCTGAAAAATAATAAGACGTCCCCAAAAATAAGACCTCCCCGGATAATAAGCCCAATCGGGCTGTTGAGTGCATGCACTAAAATAAGGCCTCCCAAAAAAATAAGCC